TGTATCTCGATACCATGCTCACGGCCTGTGACAAATCTGGCCTCGTACACACCATCGCATACATCAAGCTACCTACTGCACTAGCATATGGGACCTTCGACATATAATCTCTGTCCTCAACTGAAACAGGTGACATCAACGCTGAAAGCTTGAAGTGGGGAGCCAATGGTGTGCTAACTGCTTTTGCATTGCCATCAAAGCTGAATTTCTTCAACATCTTCTGCAAGTAGCTCTTCTGTGTAAGCTTCAATTTCCCCTTCACCCTGTCTCGCTCGATCTCCATACCCAATATCTTCTTTGCCTCTCCAAGATCCTTCATCTCAAACTCGGATGATAACTCCTCTTTCAGCTTTCGAATAGCCGAAGAATTCCTGGAAGCAATAAGCATATCATCAACATATAAAAGCAAATATATGAGCTCACCATCCTGTAGCTTGTGCATATAAACACATGGGTCATATGGGCTCCTTGTGTACCCTCGGCCAATCATAAAGCCGTCGAATCTCTTATACCACTGTCTTGGTGACTGCTTCAAACCATAAAGAGACTTCTTCAGCTTACAAACCAAATTTTCCTTTCCTGCAGCTTTGAAACCCTGTGGTTGTGTCATGTAGATCTCCTCATCTAAATCACCGTGTAGAAAGGCTGTCTTCACATCCATCTGGACCAAATCCAAATCCAACTGTGCCACCAACGCCAATAAAATCCGAATCGACGAATGCTTCACAACGGGTGAAAATACCTCGTTGTAATCAATGCCCTCAAGCTGTGCATATCCCTTGGCAACTAATCTGGCTTTGAACCGAATGTCCCCAATAGAAGATCCCTCCTTCTTCGCATATACCCACTTGCAACCAATAGCTTTCTTACCCTTAGGTAGATGTGCAAGTGTCCAAGTGTCGTTCTTCTGAAGAGACCGCATCTCCTCCTCCATAGCTTCCCTCCACCTGATCGAATCGGGGCTAGACTCTGCCTCCCTGAATGTGGCTGGAACCATATCATCAACGACCTCCACTGATAATGCATATGCGACCATGACATCATTATACCTAGCTGGCCGACGAATCTCTCTCCTCGGTCTATCTGCTGCAATGGTCCTCTGAACATGACCCTGTTCCTGAGTCCCATGATCTACTGTATCCTGTATCTGCCCATCTGTCATCTCATCTCCTCCCAGTGTCACCTCTGTAGGAGCCTCAATGGATACAGTGTTCTCTGGAGTGGGTGGAGTCACATCATCCTCCACCTGCTGCGATATCTCTCCTGTCTGGTCTCCCTCCACCTGCTGAGGGGTTCGAGGCCTCATCATGTACGCCTCGTCAAATGTGACATCTCTGCTAATAACTATCTTCTTGTCCTGTGGATCCCATAACTTGAAGCCTTTGACTCCATCTCTAAATCCCACAAAGACTGCTTTCCTCGCTCTCGGATTTAATTTACCATCACTGACATGATAATAAGCTGGACACCCGAATATCCGAAGCGACTCATAGTCACTAGCCTCCGAACCAAACCAACGCTCCAAAGGAGTCTTCCCGTCTATCGCAGTGCACGGCAACCTGTTCACAAGATGGCTCGCATAAACCAACGCCTCGGCCCAAAAAGATCTAGGCAATCCACTCTGCGTCATCATACACCGCACCTTCTCCAGCAAGGTACGGTTCAATCTCTCAGCCACCCCGTTCTGTTGCGGTGTCTCTCGAACTGTGAAGTGTCTTCTAATGCCGTGATCCCGGCAAAACTGCAGAAACGGATCACTCTTGTACTCTCCACCGTTATCTGAACGTAGAGTCTTCACCTTTCTACCTGTCTGCAGCTCCACTTTCTTTTTCCACTCCACAAAAATATCCAGGACCTGATGTTTATGCTTCATCGGGTATACCCAATTCCTCCTGGAATAATCATCAATGAAAGTGACAAAATAGTTGGCCCCACCAAGAGATGTGTTCTTGGAAGGACCCCAAACGTCCGTGTGAATATAATCCAATGTACCTTGGGTGTTATGAACAGCGGTGCCGAACTTCACTCTAGTCTTCTTCCCAAGTACACAATGCTCACACAATTCCATCTTGCAGGTCTTAGCACCTTTCAATAGCCCCTGTTTAGCCAATGACTGTAGGGACTTATCTCCTGTGTGTCCAAGTCTCATGTGCCATAAGGTGGTAGTGTCCTCCTCTGTAGTGATAGAAGCTGCCAGACCCCCTGTAACTGTCTTGCCCTTCAAGTAGTATAGGTAGTTTTCCCTGACACCTCGCATCACCACCATAGAACCCTTCGTGACCTTCACTGTAGCATCCTCTAAGATCACTCGATATCCTGCTGCCTCCAAAGTCCCAAGAGAAATGATGTTCTTCGTCAACTGCGGCACGAACCTCACTTCCTTCAATTCCCTCACTACACCATCATGCATCCTGATCCGGACTGAACCAATACCACCAATAGGGCATACGTGATCATTACCCATAAGCACGACATCCCCTCTTTCCAGCTCCTCAAAGCTAGAAAACCACTCCCTCTTAGGGCAGATGTGATATGTAGCTCCCGAATCCATCATCCACTCCGTGGAATCCGCATAGCAAACCGACGGTAAAGCAGGGCATGAATAGCCTGAAGAATCTGAATCTGAATGCTCACCAATAGCTTTTGCAACATTCACTTCTGAAGCTTGTGCAGCTTTCCCCTTATTCTTTCCGGCTTTTTCTTTCCACTTTGGGCAGTCAATCTTCCAATGTCCTTCTTCTTTACAATACCGACATTGATTTCTACCAACACTCTTATAGGCACTCCTATTCTTTGACTTTGAGCGGTTGAACTGACGACGGTTTGGATCTCGGCCTCGAACTGCTAACGCATCTCCCGATGCCTTCTCGGAGGGTTCACCATCACTCTTCCTCAACTCATAGTTCACCAAAGCTGAGGTCACCTCCTTGTAGCTAACTGTAGTTCTTCCATTGATCATAGTGAGAACGAACGTACCATAATCATCTTCGGGCAACGAACACAGAAGTAGCATCGCCTTGTCTTCATCCTCAACTATAATATCAACATTGGCCATATCTGAAAGTAGCTTAGTGAAATTGTTGACATGCTCCCTGATGGAAACCCCTCTCTTCATCTTGAACTGGTAAAATCTCTTCTTCAAGTGAAGCCGATTCTCAATGCTCTTCGTAAGATATTTCTCATTGAGTGTTTCCCACATCTTCTTCGCCGACGTCTCGTTCATAACATCATAAATAAGATCCGGCGTCAAGCATGACCTAATAACACCACAAGCTCTACTGTTCATCTTTCTCCAAACCTTATCCTCCAACTCAGCGGGTTTCTCTTTTAACTCAAGAGTCTCCTCCAAATTCTGTGCATCCAAAGCATCCATCACCTGACACCTCCATAATCCAAAATTGCTCTTGCCATCGAACTTCGGAACATCAATCTTCGTGTTATTGATGCTCAGACTCTGTATCGCCTTTGTTAGAGACGAACCTGACGTGCTTGCATCTCCCATGTTGTCGATCTAGCTCTGATACCAATTGTTGTGCGTGGCGGAAGCTTTCTAGGACAACACGAACAATAACTCGAACTAAAACCACAAACAATATGCAAACCACAATCACAGCAAGAACACACAATTTACGTGGTTCGGCAAGTTGCCTACGTCCACGGGGCAAGGAGGGGGGAGTTCTTTCTACTAGAAATCAAGAGAATACAAATAGGGTTACAAATCTCTCAGACCAAACCCTAAAACAAAGCTCTAGATCTCTCAAAGCTCTCTTACAATTGGATGCAATGATTCTCTCTTGGAGGCTGCTCAAAATCGTCCTTGAGGTTACCCTAACAAATCAGGTTTAGGGTATTTATAGATTACAAAACGAAACGGGTCAAAAAACTGGAAAAACTGACATCCGCTTCGTCGGTCGACCGGCCCGGTCGACCGCGATCAATTCCGGTCGACCGGCCCGGTCGACCGATCACCATCCAGCAGAAGCCCCAAAAATCCAGAGAACCGTCGGTCGACCGCACCAGTCGACCGAATCATCTGCGGTCGACCGGGCCGGTCGACCGGGCCGGTCGACCGACCTCCTACCAGACGCACAGGAAGCCTTGTGCACGAATGCGGTCGACCGAGCCGGTCGACCGCCGCCTGGTTTGACTGATTCTTCTGAGTTTCTGAAATTTCTTCATGAACATGATTAACCGCAATTTTCATTGGAAAAAATATATATCCTCTTGCGTAATTTTACTCACCCATGTGAAAACTATAATTTTCTGATATATAGCTTGTAAATGGGGTTTTCTTGTAGAACTTAAATCTAAAAGAAGTATTCTGATAACCCCTGACTTAAAGAAGGTTTCCTGATATTTTGAAAGTTATGGGAGCTTATCTAACAATCATCCAAAATTAAGAGGGGTATTCTGTTATTTAGCCTTTTAAAAGATGTGCCTTTTTTAGAAATTTATCATGGCACCATACCTTATTAAGTTCCTTTACTTTGCACAAAGACCTCGAAATTATAGTAATTTTTTAGGGAAGTAGTAACAATGGAGGGCTCATGGTTTTACTATTCAAACAGCACGGAGCATTGGCGAGCTCATTGTTGATGCTTTCACTATCCCAGTTAGATGTCAAAGACAAGAAGGGGTCTAGCGACCGACGTGAGTGCCCCACACGCGGGCAGGACATGTGTCGCTGCCACAGCGCCCGTGCGTGTGGCTACCATTGTTTCAAAGGCAAAGAATGGATGAAACAAATCCACTGTATTGTTTTCTTGTGGAAACTGATGAGCCCTCTCTCCCTTCGGGTGGAAACTGATGAACCCTCTCTCTCTCTAGATGGATATTATGTTTGTGTTTAGTTTGCTGCATCGTGATACTATTGCAATACTTGCAGCAGATTTGATAAAATGCAGGTCCAATGCGTGCGCAACCTACCCAGTCTTCTATAACATCAAAGAGTTAATAAATAAATAAAAGAAATGAAAAGAAAGGAGTATGATGATGACTGATGTTTACTAGTGGGAGTGTACGTGCAACAAGGTAACGAAGCTTTTGTACAGAGTAAAAATAAATAGCATAATCCTTTCATTGATGTACACTAACGCTGGCAAGCTGGAAGATTGGATGAGTTAATTAGCTTTCCCCTGTCATAAAATCAATTAGCTCGGGCTCATTGTGGATGATTCGTACGGTTAGAGGTTCCAACACATGACTCCTGTAATTTTGAGTTCGATTATAAGTTAGGTTATCAAATAAAAAATAATAACAAATTGGCTGGGGAAAAAAAAAACCCTATAGACCCCCCCCACCCCCACAACAGAAAAAAAACATATATTAGGGGCAAAAAAAGTATATCATGACACGTGGATCAATATCCATACGTAATTTGAGGATCACTTTACTAGATTAGCACAATCAGTAATATTTGTTACGACAGCTAGAAGTACAGGTCCAATCTAAATATTTTGTCCATACAATCACCAAATCTGAAATCGGTGCATTGCTGCAATCATCAAATCTAAAATATATGTTGGCACGTGTTTTAGTATTTACTACTCACAAGCCTAAATCTTTCTTTGCCGTTCTCCATGTTATCATTAACTCCCACAGGGAAAGAATATCAACTTAATGTAGAAGCACCAAGGTACTCTAATTCAGCACCACGTTTGATTTATTTCTCAACATAATATCTAAGCGAAAATATGTAGCGGTCATATGAAAAAGAATGAATTTCAATCATTTGTTCAGCAAGAGAACCAATGTTACAAAATCATAATCAATACAATGTAAACTTGTAAATTTTTATCTAGTACACATACTGATAAAGAATTGAATTTGATCAGAATTGAATTTGATCTTTTTCTAAAAACAGAACCACGAAACAATTACAAACTCAGACTGAATCCAACGCAAATCTGAAAATCTTTATGGTGACCAACAACTAAACAGGATACAAGGTAACTTTTGTTGTATTTGTATAAACGAAGTTAAAGACTCCTACTGACCTTCACAGAGCTTCAATCCACCCAATATCCTTCCGTTCCTAAAGTTACAGAAGACTCATGGAGTTGAAGCACGCACTCCAAATTCCATAGCACGTCACCCATTGTAGGCCTATCAACTCCATACTGAGCCAAACACTTCTCCACAACCTCCCCAAATTTCTTCAATGACTTAGCATCAATCTCATCTCTCAGAATTGGATCAATAATCCTCTCAATATGCCCCTTCTTCAACCATTTCATTCCCCACTCAGCCAAATTCACCTCCTCCCAAGACAACGACCTATCAATGACAGCCCTTGCACAAAACACTTCGAGAAGCACTACACCAAAAGAATACACATCAGACTTATCCGTAATCTGCTGAGTCCTGAAATACTCAGGATCAAGATATCCAAAACTCCCCTTAACACCAGTACTTACATGGGTCTGCTCTATATGAGGCCCTGCTGATTTCGATAGGCCAAAGTCAGCAACTTTGGCCGTGTAGTTCTCGTCGAGCAATATGTTGGTGGACTTGACATCACGGTGGATGATGATTCCTTGATCTGTGCCTGTGTGTAAATAGTGCAAGCCTCTTGCTGATCCAATACAGATTTCTAATCTTTGCTTCCACGATAAATGAGGCTTAATCTTAGTAGAGCCATAGAGATTGTCTCTTAGCGGTCCATTTTTCATGAATTCGTATACAAGGATCATCTCTGATCTCTCGTCGCAGTATCCAATTAAGGAAACAAGGTGGCGGTGTCTTATTTTAGTTAGGATCAAGATTTCAGACTTGAACTCTGTCAAGCCTTGTCTATAGCCTTTACTACTATTGTCATTGTTGCATCTCTTTACAGCAACTGGAGTTCCATCTCTGAGCATTCCTTTATAGACTTTACCAAATCCACCTGACCCAATTTGAGAATTATCATCGAAATTGTTAGTTGCCATGAGAATGTCAGAGATGGGTATTTTGAGGCTGAGGTTTCGAGTGCTGCCATGAGATGTTACAGTAAGTTCCAATGGTGACCAAACCCGAGATTCTGATGATACAGGTTTCTGTTTTTCCTTTCTCCTTCTTCTTAGAACTATCAGAACAAAACCCAGGAACAAGCATAAAAACACAAAGCATCCAAGAATAGACCCAATTAAAATCCCAACATGATTATCCTTCCTATCGGGTTCTGAGAATTTAGCGACACCATTGATCTTCATGATCTCCAATCCGTTAAGTATGGCGTTGCTTTTCCATGGGAGACTGCGTTGAGATGGTCCAACGCTTATATGAATGCTCCCTGAGGGATTTGAGTTCACAGTAAAATCAATGTAGTAAGGTGAAGCTAAGGCGAAGGATTGTGATGAGAGGTCAAGGTCTTTATAAGCGGAGTAGCCATTTATGTAAACATCAAAGTAGAGTTCGTAGAGAGCTTTGCTAACTATATCACAGAAGTGAAGTCGGAGGATATATCCATGGTCTGAATTGGGAACAGGAAGGATCCAAGTGAGATTAAATCTATCCAAAGAGGTATTACCTGTTGTCAGAAAATTAGAGAAAGGTTAAGTTCACAAGACTGAAAGAGCATAAGATCGTCTGACAATAATATATTTTTCTAAATGGAGAATTCTAATCATAATATGTTTACAAGAAAATGGATAATTTGAGTAAAGAAATTTAAATTAGTTAATTTGTTATATATATTCTTCGGCTCTTGTTTATTTTTGCAAGGAAAAAAAAAAGAATTACCTTTATTTTTTTATTTTTAAAAATAAAGAGATTGTTTCTCAACTGGAAGTGGATCAATGAACACTTTATTTTAAGAAATTAGCACTTTTTAGCCCTTCTAAATAGGTGATCGTGGTTTTTTATACTTTTTATGCTTTGCAAATAAAGACAGGTTAAT